ATATAAAGGCAAAATCATTTTTTGACCTTGATCATATGTATCGTTCGATCGAAGAGTACGAGAAAGATGATAAGGAGAGAAGAGAATTGCTTGGCATTCGTGATCGGCGGAACCCTGGAGGTGCAGTATTATCGAAAGAGCGCCAGAATTCTGATTTCAACGATAGGCGACAGATGGCGACACCTTCAACATCGACCGGAACATCGAATTCAGTGTCTGAGTCAACGGAGGAGCGAAAAGTAAACAACGGAAATGTATTGAAATGCTTCAATTGCGGTAAAAGCGGTCATTTTAGTAGGAATTGTAATGAGCCGCCAAAACAGGTAAAGTGTTTTAATTGTAAACGTGTGGGTCATAAGGCCAATAAATGTGATCGTTTTATAAAAAAAGAAAATGTAAGCGAAAATGTCCAGTTGGTAAATTCTAATTGTTCGGATAATTCTGTCGAAAAATTTATTAAATCTGTCAATTTAAATGATAAACCGTTTATTGCGTTTGTGGATGCCGGGAGTTCCGTGTCAACAATTAAACTCAGTGCCGCTATTAATTCGGGATTTTTCATCGAGGCCGGGAAATTGGAGTTGAGAGGATTTGGTGCGTGCGGAAGTTTTGTCGAATCTCCGGGAGTGATCACGGGAGTTTTAAAAGTCGATCAAGTAAAGCCGCGCAATGTTGTTTTCAGAGTCGTTCCCGATAATGTTTAGAATTTTGAGGTTATGATCGGGCGAAATTTCACGGAGTTGACAGATCTCGCGTATGTTCGAATCGGAGATAAGTTTGAGTTTCGCGATATCGATAATTTTCCATTTAAAGATTTGCAAATGACAAATGAATTTCCGTTTAAAGCCGAAGTTGCTCGAACTACTGTAGTCGAGCAGAACTGTATTAATTTCGTTGATGTTGTTTACCGAGATCGTGAAGCGACTATTCCGTATGTCAATTTCGATTCTAAACCCAAAATATTAAATAAAGGGGATTTAATTGGGGAAGCAATATTATCGGTCGAAGAATTAGATGAAGTGAAACCTCGCGTTTTACCAATTACGGCAAAAGATATTGTGACAGACGACGATGTCACTCCCGAACAGTTACAGGAATTAATTGATTTACTTAATGAATATCGGTGCTGTATAGCGTTAAATCTTTTTGAATTGGGTAAGACCAATAAAATCACGATGGATATTCAATTAAAACCTGGATCTGTTCCGTTTTGTTCGAAGCCGTATAAAATGAATCCGACTGATAGGAATGATTTGGACGATATAGTGACAGAATACAAAAAAGCGAAGATTGTTACAGAAACAGACGCAGAATATGCCAGTCCCGCCTTTCTTGTTCGTAATAAACACGGTATTCCGAGAATGGTGACTGATTATCGCGGGTTAAACACTGATACGATTAAAATTAGTTACCCTTTACCAAACTTTGATGACGCATTACGTTTTCTTTCGGGAGCAACACGATTCACAATTCTCGATTTAACTAAGGGTTTTCTCCAAATTCCTTTGACTGACGACGCGAAAGCAAAAACTGCTTTTATAACCGAAAAGCAGACTGGTCAATTTGAAAGAGTAAATTTTGGATTAACCAATGCTCCCTTTTACTTTGCCAAATTGATGCACAAAGTTCTAGGCAAAGTACAGGGGAAAGTGGTTTTTAATTTTTTTGACGATACATGCATACCATCTACGTCATGGGAGGATATGATTAAAAAATTGAGAACTGTCCTTGAGTTGTTGAAGGACGCTAAATTGACCCTCAACATTTCTAAATGTCGTTTTTCGATGAAAACTGTTGAATTTTTGGGATTTAAGATCGGTATCGATGGATTACAACCGAGTGACGCGAAAACACAAGCGATTAAAAATTTTGAACGACCTCGAAACGTACATGAAGTTCGTAGTTTTCTTGGTTTGGCGAGTTTCTTTCGACGGTTCGTTCCCGGTTTCGCCAAGATTTCAGCACCGCTAACTCATTTAACAAAAACTAAAAATTGCGAAAAATTTTCGTGGGGAATTGAACAAGAAGATAGTTTTCGAGAAATTAAATTTAAACTTACGAGTTATCCGGTTCTAATGATTTACAACCCTGATGCTGAAGTTACGGAACTTCACACAGATGCGTCCTCGCGTGGAATAGGAGGAATGCTTTTGCAAGGTGATAAGAAAAATTTGCGACTAGTTTATGCTGTTAGTAGAAGGACATCCGAGGTCGAAAGCTCATACCATTCAAGTAAGCTTGAGTTGATGGCAATTGTTTGGGTTGTTACGCGATTACGAGACTTTTTAATATTACTTAAATTTACCATTGTCACGGATTGTCAGGCTCTTGTTAACATTAACGCGTTAAAAACAAAACATCCTCAGATCGTTAGATGGCTGGGGATAATTGCGGAATTTAATTTTACAATTAAACATAGAGCTGGCGAACAAATGGCACATGTTGATGCCCTGTCACGTAGACCAGTAGGTGAGCCTGATGATTTGATTGATGATGTTTATATTTTCAATGTTGAAACGCGCGAAGATGAGCTGCTTTTATTTCAACGATCTGATTCTGAGATTTTGCGTAAGGTAAATATTTTCAAAAAAGATCCGAAAGATCGTGATAAGTCTGAGAAAAACGAAATTAAAGATTACAAATTATCTGACGGGATGTTGTACAAACTGATTAATGTAAACGACACACAGCGCGAACTTTATGTAGTTCCTCAATCCATGCGTAAAACAGTAGTTATTCGAAATCACGATCTGAAAGATCATGGCGGCGTCGAAAGGACTTTAGCTAGAATACGCGAGTTTTTTTATTTCCCGAAAATGAAGAAATATGTTCAAGTTCACGTTAAGTCTTGTCTCGAGTGTATTTTGTCCAAAGGAAAACCGGGGAAACAGGAAGGCGAGTTACACCCAATACCTCCTGGTAAACGCCCCTTTGAAGTTGTTCACATAGATCATTTAGGTCCTTTCGTCGAAACGCCACGTAAAAACAAATATATTCTTGGCATAAATGATAACCTTACTAAATTCTCGGTAATCGAAGCAGTAAAGAATACGAGTACTAAGATTGTAATTTCACGACTAGAAAGATTTGTAAATACCTACGGAGCGCCATGTAAAATTGTAAGCGACAGAGGAACATGTTTCACTTCGAAAGCGTTCGAAAAATTTGTTCAAGATCACGGCATTAAACATGTACTTAACTCTAGCAGACATCCGCAGGCGAACGGAAATATTGAACGATTAAATGGCACTATTTTGCCTGCTTTGCGCGCTAAACTCGGTACTCTGGATGCGAACAAATGGGACACGCTTCTTCCCAGTTTACAACGCGACTTAAATACATCTGTATCGAAATCCACTGGATGTTCTCCATTCGAAGCCTTGTACGGTTACATTCCTCGTTTTTCAGAAGGCGCTACTCGTCAACTCACTGTAAACAGCGAAACTTATCGAATTCCGTCTGAATTACAATCCGAAATCCGTGAGAACATTCAAAGTGCACAGAATGATTATAAAACGCGTTACGATTCTAAGCGATTGAAAATGAAAACGAATCCGATTGCAACAGGTGAGTCTACCAAATTGCAGCCTAAGTTTAAAGGTCCGTTGGTAGTTACACGAGCCTTGAATCATGACACTTATGCGGTGACTAGTCTTCGAAACGAAGGTGCAAAAAGATCGTCTACTACGGCACACGTTAGCCAATTAAAAATTTGGAATCCGCGAAATACGTTCAACGACGATTATAGTATGTCCGATTCCAATTCCGATTCAGACGACGAAATTGATAAAAATAATAGGGAAATAGTTGATCAAACTGTAAACACAAATGTTAATTCTCAAGTAATTCAAAATCAACAATCACCTATTGTACTCCGACGAAGTGCGAGAATTAGAAAAGTTCCGAATTACTTTTGAGATCGCAACTAACAATAATTTCTTTTTACAACTTTAATTACTTTTATAATTTATATCTTATTGTAATAAAATTTTACAGTGATTGTGATATTACTTTGAAGCGAATATCTTAAGTTTGAGGACAAACTTCTGTCAGGATGACCGACTGTTAGCAATTTTCATATTAACGATATTATAAATTTATTTTGAAATAGTGCGTGTGTGCAGTATGGACGCAGAGGGCGTTGTGTGGAGCGTTGGCTCGTTTTGGTTGTACGTAAGTTTGAGTCAGTTGAAAAATGGCATGAGATGCGTTATTGTCACGTTGTCAAGGGGACGTATGTCCGTTTTGTTCGAGTCAATGTATATTCCTTAAATTAATATAAACAATTACTTTTTCACTTTTATTTAATGTGTCATCATTAAGAAAAACCATTAACATATATATATATATATATATATATATATGTATGTACAAAGCATGATTTGGGGACTCACGTTTTTTGCCGCATATATAGGTTCCTGATGAAAAATACTACATTATGCAATTGGAATAATTGATTTATACTCAAATTAACTACTTTTAAATCAAGGATTAAGTACACAAGGCATAGTTTGGGGACTTAAAAATTTATATGCCGCCAATGTCCTCAAAGAATGCATTGTACTTGTACGTCTTTTATATGTACAGGGCATAATTTTGGGACAAAATTATATATACAACGAATGCTTTGAGGACAATTTTATGTACAGAACGCATAATTTGAGTACAATGTTTGTAACAATCGTGTCCTCAAAACATGCATTGCATTAATAATCTGGACAAAGTAAAGTGTACAGTATACTTTCAAAAAGTCCTGAAAGTATGCGTTTTATAAATAATTGTACTGCGCTGTCTCGTCCTCAAGATCAAATATATGTAGTACCGCCGTACTGCTGGTTCCGCCACAGTAATTTCAAAGCTAAAGCTTTTTTCGCGCCTCCTATAGGTGACGCTTCTATACTTCCTTCCTTATGTTCCCTATGCTCCTTACCGTCATTACGTTGTTTTGTGCGTTCCGCTACACACGTATCACAGTGACAGTCAGTGAAAAAATTAAAATAATGTCATCTTCAACGCCAGAATCAAGTTCATCAGAAGGAAGTCGTCATCGTCGTCATAAGAAGAAGAAGTCTTCGATGAAAAAGAAGGACAAGAAGATAAGGAAACTCAAAAAGGAACTGGAAAAAGCACGGCGTCATCGTTCGCGTCACAGTTCGACATCGAACAGCACAGATTCTCAATCATCCTATGCACGCTCGCGAGAGCGTAGGGCTGCGAGTTCACGGAGAGGAACTCCAGACTCTTCGACAATGCGAGATCGTGATCGACGAACATCGGGCCGAGAGTCCACTTATGCCAGAGAATTGAGTTATGAGCGTTATCTGCGAGAAACGCCTTACTCAAATCCAAGAGCACGCAGAGGGGATGAGCGCAGCACCAGAGGCTCGCCGTCCCTCTCCAGTAGCCGTAGCAGATCCAGAAGTCCGCTAGGTAAGCGCCAATCAAACGAAATCGACAGTGAAAAAAATCCAGACACGAGAGGAAAAAACTCTGAATCGAACGAAAAAAATCCGGAATCAACAGGAAAAAATTCAGAGTTGACAGAGCAAGCTTCTATTGCAGCTACTAGGAGATGGCGCTAGTGATAAAGATCTAGTTAGTGGTGCCATCCATCCGTCAATTGCCAAACTATGGTCGAAAATTCTACAGTCTGGATTACCGAAAGAGATACAACAAGAAGTGGTTAAAAAATTCAATGCTGCCGAAAACTGTCGTACAATGGGTGCGCCGCGCCTTAACCCAGAAATAAAAGCCAGCCTAAGCTCATCAGCTATTAAGAAGGATGAATACCAAGTTGCCTCTCAAGTCCAACTTTGCTCAGCTATTTCTGCAGTCGGCCGTTTTCTCACCGATATTCTAGAAATGAGAAAATCCTCTAAGCAGCTCGATGAGTCGCACATTACAAAAATCTTTGAAATCCTCAGTGACGTCGGCCGTATTTTGACAGATCTGCATCATAAAATATCCATGACACGAAGATCTTTCATCATTCCGTCATTCTCTCTAAGGTTGAAAGCAATTGCCGACGAAACAGCAGTGGATACCTTACTTTTTGGAGATTCACTAGCGGAAAAATTAAAGCAAGCCAAGGAAGTGGAAAAGTCCGGCAAAGATATTTCCAAGCAGCAAACATCAATGAGGGTCAACACCGACAAAGAGAAAACATCACACAAAAATCATTTAAACTCCAAAACCCCCTTCAAGAAGAGTTACCCACGTTCCAACTCGAGGGGAGGGGGGAATCGACGAGGAACTCGGACACCGCGCAATCAGACATCTCGATACCGGAAGTACTAGAGGTAAGCGCAATGACAGGTCGACTAAAATTTTTTGTAAAAAATTGGCAGGTAATTACACAAGACCTCTATATAATAAATACTATCCTGGGTTACAAAATACCTTTTGAACAAAAACCAACACAAATGATTGTTCCGACTACGCCTCAGCTGTCGACTGAGAACGAAACGAGAACATATAACGCTCTATCCCGATTACTAAAAATAGGTGCAATATTTCGTTGCAAGCCATGCAGCAATCAGTTTTTGTCCTCATATTTTCTGAGACAAAAATCTAGTGGCGAAGACCGTTTCATCCTCAATCTTAAGAAACTAAATAAATTCATCCCAACATCACATTTTAAGATTGAGGATTTGAAAACGGCAATAAGCCTTATAAATAAAAATTTTTTCATGGCGGTAATCGATCTCATAGATGCGTATCTCATGGTCACAGTAACAGAGGAACACCGCAAGTTCCTTCGTTTTGCTTTCAGGGACGAAACCTATGAATTCCAGAGTTTACTTTTCGGGCTTTGCACAGCCCCGTACATTTTTACGAAACTGCTCAAACCCGTTGTCCATCAACTCAGATGTCAAGGAATTATCCTTGTGATCTATCTGGACGACATACTGATTATAGCAAAATCAGAAGCAGAATGTCGTAAACATGTTCACATCACACGAAAGTTGTTGGAATCTCTGGGATTCATGATTAGTGAAAGCAAGAGCCAGCTACAGCCCGCTCAACGATGCATCTTTTTAGGGCTAGTACTAGATACCAAAAAATTTCGCATTGAATTACCAGATAAAAAAAGATTGACAATTAGCAAGCTAGTCGATAGGTTTTTGAAAAACAAAGAGTGTAAAATACAGGATTTAGCAAAATTGATCGGCACCCTAGTTGCCGCATGCCCCGCAGTTAAATACGGTTGGTTACACACAAAAAGACTTGAACGCGAAAAATATCTTGCACTAATAGAATCCAACGACAATTATAATAGCAAAATCACACTTCCCAATATTATTCAGCCAGATCTAGAATGGTGGGCAGAAAAAATACGAAATTCATTTAATCCCATTAGGAAAAACGTCTATTCGAAAGAGATCTACACAGATGCATCATTGACGGGCTGGGGAGCTTTTTGTGAAGGTGAAAAAGCCTACGGTTTGTGGACGGAAGCTGAGAGTAACCTTCACATAAATGCTCTGGAGTTGATAGCAGCCTTCTTTGGATTGAAATGTTTCGCCAAAGAAATGCACAATCGTGAGATATTGCTTCGTATGGACAATACGACTGGGATTGCTTACGTCAACAGAATGGGCGGGATACAGTATCCCAGGTTAACTCAAATTTCAAGAGAAATTTGGGACTGGTGTGAAAGTCACGAGCTCTATATCCATGCATCTTACTTGCCTTCTAAAGAAAATAAAGAAGCCGATGAAGGATCGAGAATGCTTCCACAAGAAACCGAGTGGGAATTAGCATCTTGGGCATTCCGAAAAATCGAACGAATCCTTGGGCCTTTTGAGATTGATCTCTTTGCCTCGAGAGCAAACGCAAAATGCAAAAAATATGTCTCTTGGCAAAGAGACCCGGATTCATTTAACATAGACGCGTTCACCATAAATTGGAATCAATATTCGTTTTATGCTTTTCCTCCTTTTTCTGTAATACTGCGAGTACTACAGAAAATTCAAACAGACAAGGCGACAGGAGTTGTTGTGGTACCCATGTGGCCCACACAACCATGGTATCCGCTCTTTACGCTTTTAACAGTCTCGAAACTAATTTACCTCAAACCTCATGCTCACTTATTATTTTCTCCTCACAGGAAGACGCATCCCCTGCATCAAAACCTCACGTTGATAGCTGCCAGATTATCAGGGAATCGTTCCAGAGGAACGGAGCAACCAAGGAAGCAGCGGAGGTAATGCTACAATCAATTGCAAAGAGTACACTCAGACAATATGCCAAGCCGATCAGGTTATGGAGCGAGTTCTGCGCAAAGGAAAGTATTGAATTATACAACTACGACATCTCAAAGATTCTGCAGTTCTTCACCGAAATTTTGAATCAGACGAAATCTTACAGCACTGTAAATGTTTACAGGGCAGCTTTGTCCCTTATAATGGGAAACAAACTCGGCGAGGACAATCGAGTGTCTAGATTCTTCAAGGGCGCAGCCACGCAACTGCCTAAGACCTACAAATACGATGTTACTTGGGACCCTGATTTGGTCCTCAATCACCTAGAGAAATGGTACCCTAACGAAAACCTCACCCTGCAATTGCTCACTAAAAAACTGGTAACATTACTCGCTCTAATCACTGCACAGAGAGTACAGACACTGTCAGCGATTCAACTGGAGAATATCAGCCTTGACAGGGATACAATCCGGATCAAAATCACAGAAAATCTGAAGACGTCGACAAGGAGTAAATTCCAACCAATTCTAGAGATGCCAACATTCACAGAAAAGCCGCAGATATGTGCAGCTTCAACTCTTCGGGCATATATCACCAAAACAGAAAACTTAAGATCAGGCAAATCGAGTGCAGGAAAATTGTTGCTCACTCACAAAAAGCCTCACCATCCTGCTACAGCGCAAACAATAAGCAGATGGATTCGTGAAACTTTAGAAGAGAGCGGTATAGATACGAAAATCTTCACCGCACATTCCACGCGACATGCATCAACTTCAGCAGCGGCTCGCAGAAGTACAAACATTGAAGTTATCCGTAGAGCAGCCGGCTGGTCGGCCAAATCATCTACGTTTGCACGGTTCTACAACAGACCCGTGACAGATAACGGAACATTCGCGTCGTTTTTTTGCAACTAACTAATTTCTTTTTTTGTTTTTTTCTTACTTAAAACAGTTTAATCACTTAACTCTTGTTCAGAAATCTTAATTTCTATTTCCTTTTTTTCATAAGATTACTACTCTACTTTGTAGTGCCCGCTTAAGCGGAACAAATCACGATTATAATATATAAATGTAATAAAACTAAATGGCATAAATTCGCATGAAACTTTGAACATCTACATATATTTGATCTTGAGGACGAGACAGCGCAGTACAATTGAAGGATTGAACGAACTTACCTAAGTGAAGGTCAATCCAAATTGTATGAGCTGTCTCGTCCGAATAGATCAAACCCTCCCCTCCCTATAATTATTCCTAGAAAAATAACCCTTTATGCGAATTAAGCCAAGCTTTAAACTATAATGGCGGTAAGGAGCATAGGGAACATAAGGAAGGAAGTATAGAAGCGTCACCTATAGGAGGCGCGAAAAAAGCTTTAGCTTTGAAATTACTGTGGCGGAACCAGCAGTACGGCGGTACTACATATATTTGATCTATTCGGACGAGACAGCTCATACAATTTGGATTGACCTTCACTTAGGTAAGTTCGTTCAATCCTTCAATTACTAAGGCTTAAAATCGAAATTTGATAATCATCATGCGCAGTGTAGCAGTCCTCAAAATATGCGTTACTTATATATCCAAAACCAAATAACATACACACTACACTATAAAAAAGTCCTCAAAGTATGCGTTACATAAATAATAATTAAGGCTTAAAATCGAAATGTGATAATTATCATGCGTAGTGTAGCAGTCCTCAAAGTATGCGTTACATAAATAATAATTAAGGCTTAAAATCGAAATGTGATAATCATCATGCGTAGTGTAGCAGTCCTCAAAGTATGCGTTACTTACATAACCAGGACCAAATAAAATACACACTACACTATAACAAAGGACTTCAAAGTATGCGTTTCATAAATAATAACTAAGGCTTAAAATCGAAATGTGATAATCACCATGCGCAGTGCAGCCGTCCCCAAAGTATGCGTTACTTACATAACCAAGACCAAATAACATACACACTACACAATAACAAAGGTCCTCAAAGTATGCGTTTCATAAATAATACATAACTAGTAAACCTACCCAAGTGTTACACTCCGATTTGGATGAAACTTGGCACGTTTTTAGAACTTGTAAAAATAAGAAATACGTATTTTTTTATATGGGCTGAGACGAAGGTTTAAGGGGTGAAATCACCTCCTAAAGTTGCTAAAAATCCCCCCAAAAACGCATAATAAAATCCAAGCTCATAAAAGGTATAATTAATTTCTATGGGACATTAAACACTATATGTAGGGGTTTTTTGGGTCACTGATTAAGAATCAGAGGTTATATTAGCCAAATTCAAAATGGCGGCTCCAATATGCCGGACGAATTTTTCAAAAATTCATTGAATTCGCTTAAAACTTGTTACTCGGGGGTTTTTGGGGT